CCCCGCCCCACCTGCCCCCTAGCCCCCACCCAGCCCCCGCCCCGCAGCACTGTCCCCCACTGAGCCTCAGCCCCACAGCAGAGCCCCCCACTGAGCCCCCGCCCCACTGCCCACAGCACAGCCCCCCACTGAGCACCCTATTCTCAGCACTGGGTCTGAGGGGACAGCACCCCCTAGTGCAGCGGATCCCAAGCTGGGGTCTGCAGACCCCAGGGGGCTGCCTTGCCTACCGATGAACTCGACACACCCACCAGTTCTGTTTGCACGACACATTCCCTGTCGCACGAACAGCCCCGCGGCGCTCGCCGCGCTGCACGTTCCCTGTCGCACGAACAGCCCCGCGGGGCTCACCACGCTGCACGTTCCCTGTTGCACGAACAGCCCCACGGCGCTCACCGCGCTGCACGTTCCCTATCGCACAAACAGCCCCATGAGGCTAGCCGCACTACATGTCCCGTTGCACGAACAGCCCCATGGTGCTCACCGCGCTGCATGTTCCCTGTCGCACGAACAGCCCCGCAGCACTTGCCGCGCTGCACGTTCCCTATCGCACAAACAGCCCCATGAGGCTCGCCGCACTACATGTCCCGTCGCACGAACAGCCCCACGGCGCTCACTGCGCTGCACGTTCCTGTCGCACAAACAGCCCCGCGGAGCTCGCCACGATGCACGTTCCCTGTCGCACGAACAGCCCCGCAGAACTCACTGCGCTACATGTTCCTGTCGCACAAACAGCCACGCGGCGCTCACCGCACTGCATGTTCCTGTTGCACGAACAGCCCCGCGGCGCTCACTGCACAAGCGTCAGTGAAAAACACTCACTGCTTGGGACAGCAAATCAGAAGCAACATCCGTTTTTTGCTGAGACGTCTGGCGGTGGAAGTGGAATACATTTGTACCATGTGTGAGCAAATGACATTAAAATGGAGACTTTTTAAAAGGCCCTAATTCTAGTCTTGCTAGGTGTGCTGAAGCCAAGGCCAAGGGCCCGTTTGAGGCAGTGACACTGAGTTTGGTGTTATGGAATTTAGCGATGGACGAGCGCAATGCCTCGTATGCTTACAGATCCCATCAAACTGAGCAGTGAACCCAGCTCCCAGCAAGGCCCTGCAGTATAAAGACAAATCCAGAGACTTTTTCCAACGAAAGAGCGAGGGATACAATCCACAGAAAACTCAAATGACAAACGGAACATCGGTTCCTGGCAAGGCTCTGAAAGCATCTTTCTTTCCAGCGCTTCGGCTTGCAGAGTGAAAACTCCCCTGCTGCTGGAGACGAAGGGATTCTTCCCGCAGCTGGAGCAAGGGGCCAAGTGCTGGTACGCGCAGCTGCAGCGAAGAAGAAAGGCCAGGCCACTTTGGAGGAGAACTGCTGAGACTGTACATGGGAGCGGTTTGAGACGCCAGCTGCTGTTGGCAACGCAGAGCAATGAGGTCTTGGTCGTTATGTTTGGCTGGGGAAATTCTGGAAGATTTCAGGCGTTACCGGAGCAGCCAACAGGTCCGGAAATGTTCAGCTCACCGGCTGAATGGCTGCGCTGGGAGAAGTGCTGCGGTTTGCATGGACGGTGCCGCAGGAGTGGTGTTGTAGCAAGAGTCCGCGCCCGAAACCCGCAGGTGACGAACACCCCCAGGCCCATGCAGCAGAGAATGGAACCCGAATTCCAGCTGTGACCATTGTGAATTCTGCCACGTCCTGGCCTTGGAATTGCTGCCGTTTTGCCGAGCCGCGGTTGGCACCGGGAGCAGGACGTGACACATTGCCGTTCCCTAGGGCAGCGCGCTGCCTGGCTCACGGCAGCATGGCAGGTTCGCACAGAGCTGCTGCGTTTTCTTTCTGTGAACAAGCCCAAGACGGTGGCCCCTCTCTGCCCCGCCGAGGAGCGACACTTGCCTACCTCGCAGCCACTGAAACTGGCTGAAGTCTGCATCTGAACATGAGCAAACCCTGAGTTCTCCTGCTTAACGGAATCCACTGGCGGACTGGCCGGGCTCTCTGTGCTAACAGCTATTAGCAAGGCTTGTCTCCCTCGGTCAGCCAGGTCATTTGCATCAACACAGACAGGAGCCTGTTCTCCAGTTTTCAGATCCTTAACTGCTACCAATCCCAAGGCTGGACTCTGTCTTACAGAGACACCACACAAATCCAGAGTCTGAGGGGGAGAGTTTGCTTGCTCTCCCCCGCATGCTCAAGCATTTAGCCATAAAACTGCTCTGCTCTGACACACCAGTAACCACATCTGTCCTCAGACCCTGAAGCACAGACTGCTCACTTACAGAATCAGAACAGAGACATTCCTCTCTCACAGCCTTGTCTCCCCAAGCTGCCCAAGCACAGCCACCGGGTTATAGGGCTGCGAAACTTTCTTAACAGCTCTTACTCCATCTGAGACCTTCTCAGAGCTCCCCACACTGGACCTTTCGAAAGGAAAGTCAGTGGATCCATTCACAACAGAACATTTCTGGCTGGTAGGAACTGAAACGTCCTTGATTAAATCACTCTCACACCCTTCAGTTGCAGAAACTGCTTGCACAGACTGCCATGAACATTTTTCGCTCCGGGAATCTTTCTAAGCACCAATTCCCCTCTACCGTGCTCCACAGAAGCATCGCTCTGCTGAGCCACTACCAACTCCTGAGTTTCACTTCCATCCAGAATCCCCTCGGCCCATCTGGCGGATTCCTACACCATCCCCTCTCCGGCAAACTGCTCGATTCCATAGTCACAAGGGCAGACGCATTCTCCTTCCCTTTGCCACACACAAGCTCAGGAATCTTTTCCTTCTTGCTACAAGTTTCCAAACTGTCAGTGGGTAACACAATCCAATCACCTTCATGCTCTCCTTGTGCCCTGGTAGGATATCACCCTGATTAGACACAGCCGCTACACCCTTTCCCAGCAACATACTAGCAACAGGCAAAACACAAGCACCAGAATTGTCTGGTCTCTGGGATTTTGCTAAGACACTAACTGGATGCAACCTAGTTACAGTGCCATTCTCCCCAGCAGACACAGACTTAGGACCATTCCCTTCCTGATCAGGAACAGTCAGCATGGATTCACCAAGGGGAAGTCGTGCCTGACTAACCTAATTGCCTTCTATGAGGAGATAACTGGCTGTGTGGATGAGGGGAAAGCAGTGGACGTGTTATTCCTTGACTTTAGCAAAGCTTTTGATACGGTCTCCACAGTATTCTTGCCAGGGCCGGCTCCAGCATTTCTGCCGCCCCAAGCAAAAAAAAAAAAAGCCGCGATCGCGATAGGCGACGGCAATTGGAAAAAAAAAAAGCCGCGATCGGCGGCGGCAGTTCGGCGCCAGGTCCTTCGCTCCCAGAGGGAGTGAGAGACCTGCCGCCCCCGAATTGCCGCACGTGCCGCCCCTCTCCCTTGGCCGCCCCAAGCACCTGCTTGTTAAGCTGGTGCCTGGAGCCAGCCCTGATTCTTGCCAGCAAGTTAAAGAAGTATGGGCTGGATGAATGGACTATAAGGTGGATAGAAAGCTGGCTAGATCGTCGGGCTCAACGGGGAGTGATCAATGGCTCCATGTCTAGTTGGCAGGCGGTTTCAAGCGGAGTGCCCCAAGGGTCGGTCCTGGGGCCGGTTTTCTTCAATGTCTTCATTCCTGATCT